ATATAACTTTTCAGGGGGAGGGGGACAAACACGCACACACACACACAGACACGTACGCATACGAGAGATGTAAACAACCAATATATATGTCATGGGAACTGGAGCGCGTGCGACCGAGGCACGTTTCACAATAGTCCCCTAGCTCTTCGACGAGAGGTAGAGAAATCTGTGCCGCATGGTGGCTATTCAGACATTTCTGAGAGGCCTGTCAGCACCGGTGAGGTCGATAGAACAGCATGACATGATACTCAGGTATCCTAAAATTATGCGCAGGCAATCTGATTTGATATTCGTACAAGTTGAGTTGTAAAAGGTTCACATTAGCTGCAAAGTCCCAAACGAGAGAGACAAATATTCTACCAGTTTGCACCTATCATTTACATATTGAGCGGTGTGTATGCAAATCCCACCCCATCCCAGATACAAACTCATCCCACCTCGGATATCTGTCCACAGAAGCACGTTGGTAACCTACCTGCCCGGGAGTGTTCTTTATGGGCTTTCAAATGCATTCGGTAGTCAATTCACATTTTTGTACACTCGATGTCCCACCTGTTCCCTTTTCTGTCAGTAGTTGACGGTGGTATTTTTGACTGAATGCACGCGCATAACTTACTAAAGAATCGGTAGAATACAATAACACACGATGCTCTCTGGGGGGTGATCAGCAGTTTGTGTACTATTGTTGTATCTCGAACGGGACTCGGACCATGAACTGCGGATTATAAACAGAAACCCTGATAAACCGAGCTACTTCTGTGGCTGGTGGCCAACATTAATGCGCGTAGCGACATGGATTACTTGCTTCTGGTTTTTGGATCACGCTAGTTGACATCAACAAGATCTGCGTATTTTATTTCCTGTCTGGGCTTCGCCATGTCCGTTTTGTTCCATCTCAACCTCAGTAACATCAGACATTAGCGGTGAGGAAATTCTCAAATGCTTTTCTTTTACTTTCCCATCATAGCCATCGGATCTGGATACCAATCAACTGGTCTGGTTCGCATCCAACGGGTCCACTATTCCCACCAAACCAATAGTGTACAACTCTCAAACTGGCGAGGTGACCATTCACCTGGACGTGCCTTATGCCTCTGTGGTCAGTGGACGAGAACCAATAAGTGGTTACTTTGTTGGTAACAGTCCGGTGCTTAATCCGTTCTGGACTCCAATGCGAAAACCGAAACTGGTTGATTCCAGGGCAGATGAAGGTATGCATGCAAGTGATTGCTCATTGCTCGTTTTGTGTTCATGATAGACTCCCATACTTTGAGTGAGTTCCATTATTCAGTCTGTGTGGGGTGGTCACCTAGTGGAGTGGTTTGAGAATGTAAAAAGTAAATAATATTAATTTTAAGTACTGCATCCGAACTGACTTCGATCCTGTACTATTTGCCTTTGCATGAACTCCGGACTCCGGTTCGGGGGCTAGAAATTGCATTGTTAGCAAAGAGAAGACTACAGTGACTAATCTGGGTTTTCACTCCAGTGGTTACTAGGTGAATACAGCATGTGCATTATTCGGTAATGAAGGTGCACAGTCATAGACACAAAATAGTACGATCCTGGAAAATGATATTTCAAATAACACGAAAAATACACCTTAAATTATGTAAAGTACAAGAATCATAGTGAAAAGAGGATTTCGCCCAGATATCTGCGATTGCGGGATTCGTTTACTAAACTTATGAAAATGTCTAAAAGAATTTTTTTGAAAATATGAAAATCCCTAACTGACAATGTGAGAAGTGTGAACATACCGTGTTTAAAATATCCTCAGCTTTTGGTGGCTTGATTTTGAACTCATCAGTTCCTTTCTGAAAGCGATGCATTTTTATGGAAAATTTTAATTGTGGAGTAAACCTAATGGATGCGTTTTGCATCTGAGATAAATGCATTTGTTTCTGTTGTACTCTTTAACTGTGGTTTGTTTCCTTTGATGAGTAACCGATTTTGGCGGTTTCAAAGTGTACGTTTAGTATACATTATATCACTCCCACGTAATGGTAATTTCTGAGTTTAGAAACGATTTGAGTAATTTTTACAAATCTTCCGCTCTTCCACCCATACAGTGACCACCAAAGATGTGATCCCGCCGGAACCTGAAGTGCGTGTTTCATTCATGCAACCGTACACCATCACAGTTGGAGTCGTTCCGGGAAAGTCACCCATTCATGTTATCTGGACACGCATTGGTCGACTGCCGGAAGACCTCACTGCAGTAGGTGAGCCGGTTCCCAGTACTTTACCCGAAGGCATGACCCAAGAACGAACCAATTTGCAAATCTGGGCAGGAACAGAGCAGCACGAAGGTGTCTATCAGGGTGTGGTGGTTCGTGACAGTGACGGCACGGAGCTGACACGGTTCAATGTGACTGTCCGCGTAGATCCGATCGTTCCGGATAGCACAGTGGTCCTCCCGCCCGGACAAGCTGAAGACTTGCCAGATAAAGTCGACAACGTGACGTCGGTGACACCGAAACCAGGAACAACGTGGGATTTTGTTGTACAAGGATTTACTCCAGATGCGGAACACTGTGAACACCCAACATGGGCCATGGTGGACTATCAAACGAATACAATCACGGATGTGACTGAAAGAGGTGAGGCCAATTATAAGGCGTCTGAAGCAGTGTGATCAAGGAATAGACATTTCCATGATGTAGTCTGTCGTGCACAGTTATCGTCCTTCACCTTCGCTAGGTCATATCCTACTAGAAATATGGAAAGGAAAGCAAATGAGATGAATGCAGAAATTAAAATACCTGAATCGTTTGGCGCACCGTTGTCTCTAGATTCCTTATCGATCCATTGTTTGTGAAAATCCCTGAGCAATTAAACAGTTTCTCACCTCTAGGCAACAGTTATTCGCTGAAATAAGTAACTGTTCATTCATATGGTCGTGACTTATTTGGAAATAGAACTCTATTTCAACATTGTGTTGTACTCAAATGCGCAAAAAACAGCATGTCAATAATTTTCTTGTGTTGTATACTTGTAAATTCACAAGTGACCACGTAAGCAGACGGAATGAACAAATTATAATAAGTAAATAGGGTACAAGGTGACTTGTTCATAAACCCATCTATAGTTTAAGGGTCACTGGCGTTGGTACGGTCTTTACGGAGATAGGTATTCATTGGCAGACAGATGTCTTTTAACTGGGTCGATCAATGGTCTGATAAGGCACTTGTGTGTGTACGCACCTGACTGACAGTGTTGGACACAATACTTAAATCAGTGCATGAGGAACAGACAACAAACACAGTGAGATGGGTACACAAAAAAACGGATACCAGCAATTTAGGTAAATTGCCTCCTATCATGGAATGGCCGACTGGCAGAAAACAATGATCAAGGTCGCATCACAGTGACTTGAACGAAAATAGGGACAAGAGGGACTCAGCCGGATCCGAGTATTTTGCTGAATACATTGATGTATTTCACAGGTCACTCAACCTAGTAATGATAGTTAAATCGTTCGAATACTGCTGGTCATCAGTCTGCAGTAGTTTTCTGCTCCTACCGAAGAAAGAAACCGGATTTCATCACCCACTTTTTTGTTCTTTATCATTGTTACGAGTGCGGCCAGTTTAATGAACCGCTATCGGGCAAGTAAACTCGCCCCCCCCTCTTGCCAGCTGTCAGATAGTATCAATCGGGCTATGAGCAACATTCACGTTTCATGCGCTAGGTCATCAAGATATGCGTGCGAGGAAGTGTAACGTGGGGTTCACTGGAACAGTGCGTCATGTGGGCTGCGTCATACGGATGGAAAATGTAACGTTTTCGCAGTGGTATGAGTGCTGATGGTCCTGGGAGTCATCTCATGAAGTTATTTGGGTACAGAGTTATGTACGATGTGAGTTAAATCAGCAACGAGGTTTAAGGATTGATTAACAATCTTCCTGCGTCTTCCGTGATACTGAAATAGTTCAGTATCTAATAACGAAGTTCGAAACAGTAGTAATAAATATAGTAATGCAGGTCTAACTGAAACTGATGCAATGTACCTCTGAAAAGAACTGTGTTCCGTAAACCACTGCATAGGTGAAGACACAGTCAGATTTATGCGTTTATCTTTGAATGAGACTCTTCGAGAATAATCCAGGCAAACAGCCCTTATCCAGTTGATTACGATGTTTTGTGACATGAAGGGATAGAATAAAACAAGGTTGGTTTACATCAAAATGACGATAATAGTGATAGGAATGCGAGGACTGTGTATATTACTGGTCAATGATCGCGTCTTCGTTCTTTTCGGACATTTTCCAGCTTCTTCAGCATGAAATTCATCAACTGAGTTACAGAGTCATTTTTTACTTTTGGCTGCCATCTCAATATCAAACCTATACGTAGTCAGTGTTTGTGAGAAAACGCAAATTTGTGATGGAAAACGTTTTGTATCGTAGTCGGTGTCCACTATGATCTGCTGGGTTCTTACAAAACAAAAGTTTACTCCAATTAAAATGTTGATCTCGCAGCCAGTTTTGGGGTTTACCCGGTTGCCTACCGATATTATTTTGAAAGCCGTTTACGCCGGTGGCTGATTTAATCTCATGATACCATCAAAGATGTTTGAGGTTATGAAGGAGTCGGTTCGGTTCACACATTGAGGGTTTAGTGATTTCATACAGTGACATCGCTTGACACGTGTCACGCAATCATTCTTGTTGGTCACGGCTTATTCACTGGATGACCAAAAATCACAGTTCGAAGTGGTGTAACGGACAAGGAAATAAATTTGTTTCACAATCGATTGGAATTTTCAATTTCAACCTGCGTCATTCGCAGATCAACAAGGCTTGTGTGTAAATAAGCACGCTCTGTGCTGTTACTGTTTTTTGACACATTTTAATTCGAACAACAACAACAACACAAATTTTGTTGCTTCACTCTAAATTCTTGATAATCGATGAATGTTCAGTGCATAAATTAAGTTTCCTAATCAAAAACAGATCGTTATAGGATAAAACCAAACTAACTAACATATGTGAGAGATGGGAATTCCGTATGAGAACAGAGGAGGAACAGTGGACAATCTTTTTCGTCCTTCTGGGGACCGATTAGCAGTTAGCGCTGTTTTTATGTACCGGTAGGAATGCGAACCGCAAACGTTTGAGATGGGAGAATAACCTCTTACCCCATTGCATCCGGTCAACGAGAAAAGGTCTCTTTTCAATACTTGTTTAAATCACAGGTGAGATCTAGAAAGTAAGCAAGTAAGTAAGTAAGTGAGATCAAGTGAGTAAGTAAACCATGTAATAACTGAGTCAGATGAAGGACCCCTCCTATTATAAATGAGGCATATTAATTGAGAAGGTAACATGACTCATTTCACTGAGCTTCAAAAACGTAGTTAATATCCACAAAAATGAATCGATTAACAGATTTTAATCATGGAACAAACCGGTCACTCGTTTATATATCAGTAAATAACTGGGAATCCTTATTAAGAGAGTTATGGACATCTGACTCATTGCCGTTTTCAAGCGATATCTATTGCGCTCAGACGAATCGCATTTGATCTTAGAAATATGAATGTCTTGTACAGCTTAGACATGCAACTTGCTACTGAAACGTGCTAATAATGCTGCAAATCTGTTTTGGTTTTTGTTTGGCACAAACCAACAGCACGACTTTGGGATCGATCTAAGAATGACCTATGTCGAATGATTATCCCCATGTCAATCCCCCCTCCCTCATTCTGCCTGTATAACAAATATTCATTGTTTTGTGTGTGAGTTGTCCGATCCAAATTTCTGTAGTATCCCACGCTTTGCAATCTGTCAATCCCAAATTGTGTATTGTTTTTGTGCTTGTAGTGCATCGCCTGTCCCCAAGTAATTTCCGAGTGGAATATCCACTGACCAGTGGCATATTCCTGCGATTCCAATGCCAACCGGTTCCAAGAACCAACCTTACTGGTGAAATCAAGTTCAATATTTGTAAGTTCGCACCGGTTCTTATTGGTGTCCTTTATGCTGGAACATTGGCTTTGTTTTCATATTGTTTTAATTAAGTAGCAGAATCGCAGGTCTTCATTGTAGTTGTGAAATATCCTCAATTTGAACGAACTATAGCTGAAGTACTACTTTGAAATTGATATAGGGACATCGCGAAATGAATGGGTATCTCACTGGTAAATATTGTGCTCCAAAATTACTGGGACACTCAGTTTGTCTGCCAAGTTTCAAAAAGGAAGACATTAAAATGGTCGTTATTCACACATTGGCCATCAAAGCCTCTATCCATTTGGATATGCTGAAAGATTTATCAATGAAATGAAAAAATGCTGTTCGAAAATGTATCAATTGAGATAAGAACAAACATGGGAACACTGCACTTCGAGCGTAAATTCGTTTACTTTGGTGGGCTATACAGTCCATCGGCTTTAGTCAAAAACTTAATAAAACCTTTTCCTGCGTAGTGCTGGTAAGCAATTCACAGAAATCGTTGCTCCTGTGTTCCTAATCTGTATCTCACGCAACCTTTAGTTCCAAATACTCGCCTGATTAACATGCCTTGGAAGTTATCAGTTGAGTTTGCGATAAGGGCTGTAAGTGTCCCACTCAAAAATGTGGAGTCCACCAAATGGTGGATATCAAGTAACGATGACTGCTATTTTGGAGATTCTCATGAGCGTAGCATTGTGTCATATGATAATACACCATTCTTTCAGCGCTAGGACCTTCCTTTTACTAACTTCTGACAAGTTGTTGTTCCCTGTCGTTGTGAACCTAGCAAAGCTGATAGGTCAACTCGTCCTGTTCAAAGGTATATGATCACTTTACTGAATTTGGCAAGTCACCACTATGTGTTAGAAAAAAATGCCAGAACCGCGGAAGTGGGAAGTCTGAGTCACAGCCATGGTGTTCCCGTAACTTGGTCGCAGTCGGTTTTGAAATCTTCGAAATCTTTCTGTTCAATGTTGAATAGAAATTTATTAAACACCGTCTGATTTAGAATGCGTTTGTGTTTCATCGCATCAAAAATGAACTTTGTGATACTAATAATCATCAAATTAGATGGGAGTGGGAATTTGGTTGATGCCTAAGAAATAAATTTGTTATTAAGTGAGTAAGATAACCATGACATTGGTGACTTTTACTCTTTTATTTTGTTAAATATATACAATAATACATATTACTTACAATATGTGAGCTTCGGTTGATAAAAGACGAGCTACGTATACAAGAAAGCAAGAGAATGTTGGTAGAAAATACGACGAACTCCCTTAGTGATCTCTACCTCGAATCACCGCCTACACCCGAGAGCATATCATCATTAGCAGGAAGTATGCAACAGAAATATGATTACACTAATACCAAATAAAATCACACTTGGTCGATTGGTTTGAAAACCATCATCCCGGACATTTTCACTTCCGTCAGATGTTCATTTCAAAAACATCAAACAATCGTTCAATCCCAATTATCTCTGTCAATCCATCTTTCTCGTTAATTGTTCCCATTATGTGCAGCTTCTCCCGATCCGAGAATTGTATTCCAAACGGTCTACGATGACACTAATTCCACTTTCCCGACCAGGCTGATCTGTTTGGATTTGAATCCTAATCGTCCATCAAGTGTGAACATCAGTGCGGACTCGATGACCGCAGAGCGTATCAAAGTAAGAGTGGGATAAATGCTTGTCATAAACCTCGTAGTTTGGTTTTTGTGCCTACTGTTGCACAATTCGGTTTTTGCTTCTCTGTCTGTCAATGGGCAATTAAAGTTAGGAATAGCTTAATCTACCCCGGCACACGAATTCGGAGCACAATGTGGAACTTCAAATCGACTTGGAATGTTAGTGTCCCTCGAAAACAGTATTGTTTTACAGCGGTAATTAGGCCCGTACTGTCAGATGTCACTGACTGTTCAGAATTCATCACAGTGCTCATTATATAACTGTTTTTCATATCAACTTTGTTTCCCGGTGGTTTCTTGCTCATTGAAATAGCCGATGTGTCTAATGTGGGTTGTACTATTTACACTTCGGACGAGGATACTGCTCTAGTTGTTTCATCGTTTCTAACCTTGGAACATGTCATGTGAATGGGCTGACGGTTCAAAAAATTGATGACCAAAAAGATAACATTCCGTGAGTAGATTTCATTAGGATACAATCCTCTAATGAAGCAAATTCCGTAGAAGATATTAGCCTTTGTTCATTACTAATTACGCTTCATTCTGCCGAATTAAAAGACGGAGAGGATCTGAAGGATTAATTAAACCGGTAAGTCGTACAGTTGCGTGGTGAGATACGGTGAAAGACCTATCCGACCATAAGCAAAGGAAATTTTAATCATATCTCATTTTGTCAATCACATATGAAGCCTCGTTATTTGTTGGAAGTTATTCCATTTCATCAAACTGTCTATAGTGTTCCGATGGTCTGGACTTGTTCATTGTCTGATCGATGACCAGTTCTTTTTCAAGATGTCGTTCACAGAGATGGCATTTTGATTTCCACCCTTTCTCGGTAGAATGCGCTTTCCATTATAAAAACCGACAAAGTGCACACGCTTGGCGATGTCCCTATCCGGCAAGTGGTGCTTGACTGGAGACGGATTGGGGAATTCGATCCGTTCAACGACGCCGGAAGTTTCACGTGTTTCGTGAATAACAGTGAAACGAGTGGATCGAAGACTCTCATCCTGCCCAGCGATGAAGTTCCCGGGATAGGTAAGTTTGAGAAAGCTGCTTCAATAAGCAAGCCTTCCCCGGTTCTACACAAGTAGAAGGAGTGGGAAAAAACATCTACTGGCACTTGGAATCTTCATAGATCATATATTTTCCGGTGTCCAATCGTTTTTTAAACATTGAATCATGAAGCTTTTGGAGGCAATTGTATTAAAGACCACATATGCCATTGATCTACCTTTAATATGCCATTCTTCTAATAGTAACTCAGATAGAAAACTTGATTTGGAAGTGATATCTGTCTACATATCTACCCAGTGACAATGTTCAAACAAAATGACACAATGAGACAAGACAGCCGAGAACTACTGGCGTAGTTGCTAGTGATAGTTCCTGAACCATATCCTGTGTGCGATTTCCACCATTGTCGGGCTTAATGAATACAAGTCAGCCTTTAATGTGTGAACAATTTAATCAGATCCATCGGTCGGTAAGTGCTAAAACGTTTATCTCTTCGAGTCACGCAAGAGCATACACTTTGGGGGCACTTCGATGGAATAATAATACACTTAAAGGGAGTTCTTTTCCCCTATCCAGCTGCTATGTCAGTGATCAAAGTGGGGAGTAACAATGGGTCAGATTTGACCCATGTAGGCTTGTTTAGAATAGCCATGAGGAGAATGAACGAGTGGCCAGATTTTGGTCAGGAACTTCCCGGAAGGTCTTTGCCGAGGCAATAGCCAATCGGAAAATAAACATATGGTTAAATGATAGTGTAACTGGATGCTGTTCATGAATGGTCGTTTGTGTGTTGGGGGGTAGTAAATCAAGTCAAGTAAATTTGGTATGTGCTTTATGCACGCATTTTGCGAGAAGTGTCAGTTTTCGTTATCACTGCGGATATTCCAAATACATTCCAAATACATTTTTAAGCGGAACCAAAAGTCGTGAAAAGGATAATTAGTTTAGCACGTCATTGTTCACGAAATTCTTCGGTTAACTTTCGGGAGTCCAAAAAGAGAAGCGGTTAATAAGGAAGAATGAAATTTCCTTATCAAACTGTATGAAAATATAAAATTTTCAAAGTGGCTCATATGGCAGATGTAGACACCATTCCAAAACGTTCATTTAGCAAGAGGTGTTATAAAGTACAGAAGAGGCATATTCATACGCTGCAATAATGTGATTAGTAACATTGTGGTCGACAAGGATTACTCTTCGATGCTCCAAACTTTTTGATATACGCCTTTACAGATGTTCTCTGAAAAATAAGGAGACCAGGAAAAATAACTGGTAAACGATTTAACCAGATTGGGGATGATGCTATTTGGAGGTGTCAAAATAAGAGAACGAAATGTGGACCACCTAGCGAATCCATAAAGCACCTTGTGTGCTTCATGTGATTCGTTTGGTCCTGAAAATGTACGGTCCAGTACTGCATTATCAGTATACTTACATCCATTGAATTTAAAATGAAAATTTGATGAGATATGATTAAATTGGAAAAGCGTTAGGAATGGCACTTCAAGGTAACTCCGATTTAACAGAGAGGGGCGCCCAAAGTTTGACATAATGTTGTACGAAATGCCCCAGATCAGTGATTTAGTCTTATAGGTGCAACCAAAAGCAGCCTTGATGAGATAATAGTGACTGTAGGGAGAAACATTTTGTGCTGAAAGTTTTGAGTTCACAACCATTGCAATTTCATGCCGCAAAATTGTTGTTATGAGTGAATTTCTGTGTTACTTTCATCTGAATAAATGCTGCAAACTATATGGTTGCTACGTGATCTGGACTAATCCGTAACGCGTAAGGCTTTATGCAATCAAGTGTTGACTTCATATAGCATATGCAATGATAGAGACACGCGCACGCTCACGCTCGCGCACACACATTCATGTGAATATTTGAATCAGGTTTTAGTTCCGGTATCCTGGTATTTTTCTGTAAACATGCATCTCAATGTTTACCATTCTATTTTTATTTCCCTAGTTCAAAAGGATCCGTACACTCGCGTCTACATTTACTCACCGGATATTCATGTCGGACCGGAGGACGATGGACTGCACTCGGCGACTGTAAACGAGGGACAAAAACTGCGGGTAAACAGAACTATCATGGCATGTGTTTTCCACAGTGGAATATGCTTGGGGAATTTGCATGGTGAACACCACTTGTCAATCAAACGCAATAGAACACAAGGCTGATTCGCCGTGTGACTTGATAAATCATATTAATTCACAAACAATACAGTAGAAAAATATATGGTGGGGGTAGATGAAGTAAGCAAACAACGGTGAATGATTACACAATAAAATACTTATATCAAATAAATAATAAGTGGTTTGTGTAAATGATGATGTTGCTCCTGGTGGTGCTGGTTCCGGTGCTAGCGATAAGACATTCGAACATTTTACTTTATCTATCTACTGAACACAATGAGGAATCCTAAGTTGTTATCATATAATGAGATGTTTCTAGTCAACCTCCGTCTTGTATGAGATTCACAAAGAAGGATATAACTAAGATATCGTCGTATTTAGCCTTAACCATCCAAGTACGTTGATAGTGATATAATTCTCTTTAAGTGGTCAAATCATGGTTTAAAAGCACTGAAAAGAAGCTTATTGATCTTTTTGATTTCAATTTATATAGCATGTACTAGATGGGCTCTTTTAGGTGTACACGTCTGACCAAAGACAGATAGATAATCCGAAACCTATGCGAATTTCCATGAAGCCTGGAAACCAAAAATGGGAGCGGAGTGATAAACTGACACCAAATAAACCGATTAGGATTGTTCACAACGGAGTGAAAACCCTGGAGACCGGCACTGAAACAAATGAGCTGAGATGTCTGCACAAATCAGTTATGCCATTTGGTGTATAGAGAGAACGAGGCAGTTTGACCAGCTGCTCGATCGTCAAAGGGGTATGGTGCTTAGTATTCCGGCTTCAATCTTCCATGGATTCGCACTTAACTGACGCGACACAGCAAAAGTGAAGCAGCTTTATAGTTCGTTCCGGCATTTTTTATCAAGTTACACATACTTTGCTCTACACACGACAAAGGTTCCTCATGCGCATAAATCAACCCTTGACCATTTGGTTTTGTATAACAGGAATCCAATCAATAGAGCTGGTTACCCGTTTGTACTCAATGATTTGAAGCGGTGCTTTTCGGATTATCGCTCTGTTGTAAACTGTCTACTTTCCACTTCCCATATTTAGCTCTACTGTGTCTATGATTCTCGTCCTCTGGGTGACTTCCATGGATGGCGTACAGATTCCGACCCGATTCAGCAGGCCATGCATTTCGAACAGAGGAGTTACTCCGCTTTGGCTTCCACGAATTCGGTAACCAAGGCTATGGACGAACAAATTTTGGAGTGCAGTTTCGGGGAGCGTGCAAAACGTGTCAAGTTGAACGGTAATTTGAATATAATAAATTCATGCATGAGCGAAACGAGTGAACTGGTGCTTGGATAGAAAACCAAAGGTGAATAGGACTATACAAGTCATTTCCACGAATGGTATGTCAAATTATCTCTGCCTCCACCCCACCCTAGACCTCGGTCAATTGGTCTTACACAGGGAATACATGAGGGGAGGTTCTTGGTGAACACAGTGATGTGTGGGTTTGATAACGTTGTAAAAAACTAAATTTGTAGTTCAGGTTTTCGGTAAATCCTCAATTTGTTATCAATACTATTGTTGTTGAATCAGATGAGATTGTTTGCTTTCTTTCGGAGTCTCATAACACTGAGGAAGAGGTAAGAGAGAGGATCCCTTTTAGAGAGATGCAAATATGCTAGAGGCAGCAGACGGCTTCACAAGCTCTGATTTGAAGCACAGTTTGAGATGTCCAGTGCGATAGATGTTAATTATTTGGATTGGAGACGAATTATCACCGAGAAACTTCATTTCGTTCCATCTAGAATGAATGATCCGGAAATTAAGAATAACCGTTAGCGATATGCACTTAAAGTGTGCCAAGTATATAAAAGTAGAATGTTGTACTTGTTGGATTAATGAAGCAAACTTCAACCTGTTTTGCATCTGGACATATTTATGCTTAAAGGTAAACAACAGTTGCTACTGGAACTCACATCTAATCGGTGCCACGATTGCGTTAGATATGTTGACTTGCAGGATCAAACATAGGGTATCGATGGGAAAATTTCAACCAGTAGATGTGAGTTGTGTTTGATCACCTCTGTCAAACTGTGTTCACTACAATCATGTAGTAGATCATTTCAATGCTGCGCATCGGAATTTGAAATTCATGACTAAAAATGAAGCAAAAAATCAACTAGCATGTTTAGATGCTTGCCTAACTAGTTGTGGTGACGGGTCCATTGGGCGGTTAGTACACAGGAAGGCGACTTGAAATGGGCAGTAAATTCATTTCCGTAGCTGTGTACCACTCAGTATGAAGAAGAACCTCATAATGTGCTTGGCCAATAGAGTTAGAATAATTTGCACGAAGGGCCTGCTGGGTGAAGAACTCCGAAATGTGTGGAATATCTTTAGCCAGAATGGATACCCGGAGCACTTGGTGGAATCTGTGATGCAACGGCAAGAGGCGTTTCTCAAGAGGGTAGTTGCTGAGATGAAGTCTGTGTACATTTATTCACCATTTAAAGTTGACACCTCGGCAGAGATTGTACAGAAAAGGTTATCAAATGCCATCAACGAAACGTTCTACGCGAATAAGCTTCAAACTCAACTTCCATCTAGCCCGTTGGTGTATCCACGGTTGAAGGATAGCGTGCCCGATTCTGTTGCCTCTTTCTGTATTTACTCTTTCACCTAATCCTGTGGAGCAAAGTATGCTGGCCGCACTACCAGGCATCTGCTCGAGCGCATCCGTGAGCATCATGTACCCTGCGTGTTTGAAAAGTGAAGTAATTAAGTCAATCACAAGTATGGTTTTGTCGCACCTTGTCGACACTGAGCAAATAGTAGTTATCTCACTAATCACATTGTAAACGTGACCAAAGCGTTTCGATCCCTGTATCGAGTTAAATGGGACGGTCTAGACATGCGAGGTTTTATATTCTAGCCACAGCGGAGGCAGTTTCCACCCGTCTTCACGACTTCTCTCTGTGTTCTTAGAAACAGTTTGTGCAAGCACTCAAGCTCCCATGGCCGGATTACCGACAAGTGACCTATCATAAAACATCGGAGCAAACGATAATTGGGGACCATTTATGGAACAAACTGTAGAATACTTTAATCACTTTCCTTTTTTTCATGTAAATCCTTCTTTTTCTAGTCATAATTATTGTGTTGTAATGGTTTGATTAAGACACACTGAAAACGAACTTTTTAACCCAAATTGTGTTCTCATTAGGATCACTAATGTTGGTCGTGACAATGCTCCTTGCTACAATATAGCTAATACTGTTAGCCACTATGTTCGCCGAGGCTCAGTTCTTTGGAACACATGTCCAGCATGATTAAGCACAAAATCAAGCGGGATTTGGGTAACAATTATCTCATTATACTTAAAGGGGATCGTGAGGGGCTAATCAGATTGGCGAGTGTAATGTTTAGATAATTCAGATGCGAAAACGCTGTCAATCTCCGTCGTTCGTCATGCTGGTTTTGTGCAACGTTTGCGGACATTTTACATGTATGCTCTTGAGGGTAAGAATCTAGGAAACTGTCAGGATACGCTGAAGCTACTCTTTTCAGGGTAACCAATATATATTTATTGCTTGTTGTCCTGATTATTATGATCTATTCAGTTACCGTAGACTATCGAGGTATGGGACTCAGAAACCATACTCTAATTTGCCACTTTTTAAATTAGTGACGTGCATCGTGTATTCTTCCGTCCACAAAATGGTCACAGTTTTCTTCACCTTATACATGTATTTCGAATTTTCTCGAACTTCTGAGCGGTGCATTTGGTAACCCATCTGGAGATTTTCTTAATTCCCGGTTTGTTTCATTTACTTTTGCAGTAATTCCGGAAGGTGAAACACGAATCAATGTCCGGGTGATCACCGATGACCTGGTCGATGAGCGCATTGTGGGCACCACAGGAACCAATGTGAATCTGACTTGCGCTGTAGACCGTAAGTTTGACTCAATTTCGCAAGCTTGGTGGAAAATAATTCAGTGTTTCAAGAGCCCCATACCCGCAGACCATTATGAGATGCATATTTAGAGGTCGTGACTATGGGTAGGTGTGATCACCAGCGTATTTCCGCATCATGACTATTGAAATTGCAAAACGTCATATATCAACAACACATCACCAAAGTTTTATCCGGGATCTTATCCTTCTATTGCAACCTCTCCTAGTGTCTACCTGTACTTTGCTGTTTGTGGTATTGTGAGCGCGACCACTTTTTGAAATTAATGCACCAATAAAAAGGCAAGTTTCCAGGGTTCCTTGTAGATGAAGTTCAGTGTTCAAAATAGTCACTTGGATGCCTCACAGACATAGTGTACCACAGTGAGCTCGGAATTGAGACCCAGGGAAAAGGAGTTGTTTATTAAAAGTATCGGATGACTTGCTACCATTCAGCGAGCCAAACCGTTTACACTAAAGCACTATCGATTTGTCATGAGTGGAGTAAACGAGTAGAAAATGACCTGTCGTGTTTTTGTTGTGAGGAGTAGAAGTAGATTGGTCCTGTTGTGCAAGCAAGCAGCTGCTGTGAAAGATCGCGGATGCCTATTGGGTAAATCATACATTTAGACCAAATATTGCACTGAATAACATTTTACACGAGATAATCTCCTAGATCCAACTTGGCGTTCACTTTCGTTTTTGGCCCAAAGACGCAACCTACTCCACAATTTGGCAAAACTTATGGTCAGTCTAATTCCAGTTATGCCGCCTATTCTCAAAGTGTGTGTCGTAGTTGGTAGGTCTATCGGCTCCCAACCGGAAGTTCCACTGGTTGACTCCCGGAAGAAACACAATGAAGGTGAGCAACTAACCACTGCTTTTGTTAATAAAGACGTACAAATCGCGTCTAACAATGTAGCGAACACAGAGGAAATCACGGAACCTCCAAAAAGTGGGACCCTGTCCAGAATAATATTACATAGACATTTGTGGATTACCATAAGTAGTACAAAATAATTTCTAACAGAACTTTACCTACTTTCAGATCTCTTAAATTTCTGTTATATAACAGTTAGATTGATACTAGTCAATGGGATATTCTATTGTATAGTAGTTGTACCTGAGTAAATTCATTTAGTATCTATTAGATATTTCGTGAGCAGATACATGAGACGTTTCGGAGAAGCCTTACTCTGATTTTGCCGACTTCCACGTTTTATCAGATGTACAAGGCAAACCAATTGATATCGACCGTATCGATTGGTTTGTGCAGTACTCATCCGGTCGAAGGAAGAAAGTCACCGATAGCAATTTTGCCGAGGAGATTGTGGTCACCAATAACGGTCGCCAGATTCACTTCAATCGCATTTCTCGAAAACCGAGTGGAGCAAAAATATTTTGTGTTGTTCGTCCAGTGGACACACCAACAGCGATGGATGCATACTACCCGTCTCCGATGGTAGAATTCTGGGTACGTGAGCCTAAATGGTCTGCAGCAATCGAACCGACACATCGTCCTGGAGTAGTACAAGGAGTGGAAGCACAAACGCTGCATCTGAAGTGTGCTGTGAAAGGTATGACTTTGTGGTATCTATTGTATATTCGTGCAGTTTTGATCCAACATGTGAATTGCATGTTTACAGTCAATTTTTTTCATCCTGGAGATGGAAACGTTTAGTAGAAATTGTAAACTTTACTGTCACTCAGAGTTTTAAGGGATAAAAAGCTCTTCGATTCGAGTAAAACACTTGCTCAACTCAAAATATAAGTAGATTTCCACGTTATACAACGAAACTATTTAGAGGTACGCCTTACTTTACAGCTTAACAAATCTGTGATTATGCGAAAATGAGATGCATGAATAGGTTATCAAACGCACTATCACATGCTCTTTGCGCTCCAAATGAGGAATGATTAATTCAATGCAGAGAATATTACGTACAAAAAATGTAAATTTGTTAAGAATATTGTTTCAAATATAAAACATGGTGTCCTAAAATCAGGGTATTCACCGCCTTATACATGCTGTAGTAAAATTATTTTACGTGGTTCCCTTTCATGGTTATATAATCGGAGAATTATTCTCAGTATGAAACGCGTCGAAAGTTACCAGACCCACGTTTATCCACTTGATTGTTTAAACGCATTCAAGACATTGGAATGCTCATTGCTTCAGACCGTCAAATTTTCTTTACTTAAACGCATCCACTGGTTTGTGCTCAGTAGAAGAGAAAGTATTAAACCTCGTTATCGATCAGTTCTTGTAGGACGAGTGGTGATTATACCTCAGTGTGTAAGACTGATTGTCCGCCGGGCTCAAACCCATCTAAATGAGCGTAGATGGACGTTTAAAAATATTAACTCACATCCCTCGTCTGAACTGTAGTGCCAGCCTATTCGCTCATCGATAAGTTGAACACAGTGCAACAAAATCAATTGTTTGTGAATACTAAAAATATGTAGCTCTTTGTACCCGAGTGCGGAACAAAATCAACATCACTAGTGAGGGAATATCACACGAATATTTTTTGGTCGAGTTAATAGTTTTTAATTGTCCGAATATATAATACATATTGTAAAAAACAGTAGCGAACAAGCTCATTTGCGGCTTTACGCACAAAGATAAATTGCCTATTCCTGTAGTCTCTTTCTGTGTGTACTTGTTTAGCTGTTTCTGTGGGGCAAGCCGTATTGGCCAAAGGAGCAGACATTTATCTGAACAGGTCCGTGAGCACCACTCGCCCCATTTGAATAGTAAAGTGATTAAGACTGATAACAGTTTGAACGTTTTACACCTATTGTAATCAAACCACGTGGTTAATGTGGCCAAAGTGTTTTGATCCCTCTACTTAGTTAACAGTCGTCGACCTAAGGGGATTTATGGTCGCATTCTGGTTACAGTGGAAATGATCAAAATCC